CTCTTAGGTGTCAGCAAAAATTCAACAAAAAATGCTATTCTTGGAGAGCTGGGTAGATAACCATTGAACGTCAAAATTGAAACACAAATGTTAAAATATTGGTTGAGACTAAAATCCCCAGTGATTCCCAACATTGTAGCAACTGCTTTTATGGAAATAAACACTTGAAAAACAGGATGGGTAGAAAGAATAGAAGAGATAACTAAAAACAACAATCTTTCAGAACTATCAAAACACGTGAAAAGAAGATAGGGGACGTACTCGGAGAAAATTATGTGAAAACATGGAGACAGGAATTATTTAATGACAGCAGAATGAATGGAGCAACAAACAAACAAACTAACTTCATACAGAAAATTTAAAACTACCTTCAATATGGATAATTATTTAAACGATATAAAAATTTAATATTAAGGCGATTATTTTGCAAATTTAGAATTTCTGATCATAAACTACTCATTGAGACTGGCAGACAAAAGAAAATTCCTAGAAACGAAAGAATATGTAAACACTGCACAGATGATAAAATTGAAAACGAGTATCATTTCTTAATAGGATGCAGTAAATATGACATACCCCGTAATAAATTATTTAAATATATACAGGGCAAAAAATCTGACTTCTTGAAAATTCCGATTAATTATGACAAGCTTTGCAGGAATAGAAACTGCACAATTCATACATACACTATGAACTTAAGAGATGAAACATAGCAATTCCATCAAATTAGTCTGCAGGTAGTTTAGTAGCTTAGTAGTTTTATTGTTATACTAATTTTCATGTTTTTTTTTCTTCCATTCTTAGTTACATGTATTCAATGTTTTATTCGTGATTCTGGTGTTCTGAACTGTACTTCAGTTTTGCTTTGTACTAAACAATAACATTAGCTTATGTTTAATGTGCTATTTGTGATATTAGTTGTGTGAAGTATTATTTCTGTTTTTGTTTTACAACCATAAAATTACTTTCTGTAGTAGATTTTCGTGTTGAATAAAATTATTATTATTAAGATCAAAAACAAACAGACAGGTGTGGAACTTACTGAGTTTAAATATTTAGTTTTTTTAAATAGAAGGGCCGTAGGGCACGAAAATCTGAAAACATTATCAAGCGAACAATTTTTTTCTGGATTAGTAGAATTTTTTAAGAAAGGTTTGTAGGTGTTACCCCATATTTCAATACAGTAAGTAATATGTGGTAAAATGAAAGAGTTGTAAAGCAAGATGAGAATAGATCGTGGGACAAAATGACGGATTTTAGAAAAAAATATCAATTTTAGGTGAAATAGTTTTACAAATTTGTTCTATGTGTTCTTTGCAATTAAATGTATTGTCAATTGTCACACCTAGGTACTTTGTAGATGAGACGCTCTCTATAGTTTTATTTTGGACCTTAACGTTACCACAAGTATGAATTGCTTCCGGGTTATTTTAATTAACATATAATTAGTTTTTTTCTGTGTTGATGGTTAATTTATTTGCATTGCACCAGTTGCACACCTTCTGGGATTCAGTGTTAATGTTGTTGAGATCAATAACATTATTTCTAAGAACTTTGAAAAGATTTGTCTCATCCGTAAAAAGGCGGAAATTGAAGACGCTGGAAGAGTTATCAATATCATTTATATACAAAAGAAATAATATTGGGCCGAGTGTCGCATACGACTTGTTTACCACTTCCGTGTGACTGAGAATGTTCTAGAACCGTACTGTGTCTGGGTGGATTTTTTAGAAGTTGGTTGAATAGGTAATAGGACACTGTAGAAAGCAATAGAAGGTAATGGAACATTCTAGAAATTTGTAGTAAGTTCCAGACTCATTATGTATGCTGATGTAATGGTCTATTTATAGACAGTGTGGGTATATATAGGGGAGTTGTTCAGCATCTAAGTTTAAGTATCTGGTTATTGGAGTAGTGGAGTTTTACCGCGTTATTGTACTTGATGTTTGCAGAGTATAATAATACCAGTACCAGTTGAAACCTCATCTGTTGGCTCCGTGTTCGTATTTTATCATCGCCGCCAGGGAAGTCTTTCTGTTACTGTTGCTATTTTGGTATTTGAACCATCACACCTGTACTATACCAATTACGGTAATATTACGTTACGTGTGACACCGAGAATCGATCTCTGTGGAACACCGCAGGAGATATTTCTGGGGGACGAGGTGCTCGTGTCAATCGCATCATACTGTTTGCGACCAGAGAGGTAGTTTGTAAACCACTGTAGTACTGTACCCCTAAATCCATAATTTTCGAGTTTACTGGTTAATATGCTATGGTCAATGGTATCAAATGCTTTTTTAGGTCAATAAATATACCAATAGTGATATATTCATTGTCCAGATTTGTAGCTATGTCAGCTTGGCCCAGTTTAGTAGGCGACGGCCAATCCCACTTCTTTCTTGTCAGTTTTACTGCACCCAGCAACGGCACAATAAGGAATTCAATAAAGTTGAACATAAAATAGCAATGAGTAAGGAATTGAAGAAATCGAGACCAACGTGCCATAGACGAGTGACCCCGTTAGTTCAGTTAGAAACGTTTGGTTTGATTTAACTTCTCATTTTGGGAGACGTGATCGGGAAGGATTGCGAATGATGACCATAAATTCGTTTAGGAAAATATTCGATGTTGATAGAATTTTTATTTTTTATGCCAACTTCTATAATATTTTTCTAATGATGTTTTTCTTAGTGAGGGTGATCCTGCTTCTATTATATATGTCGGTTGGGTGGCTTCTGAGGGTATCGTTCCAGGTTGATGAGAACGTGTACATTCCTGGAGAAGATAATGATCCCTATCCACCATCAAGAATATCAGATCTAGAAATACCTTTATCGAACTATGATGAACAAACTATAACATTAAGATGGATTGCAGTGGGGATGATCTTGAACAAGGATCTGTGTAATAGACATAGGCATACTCCAATATGCTCATCTATGTGATGTATATGTGATACATATAATCATACACCTGAGTCGATACGTGTATGTTATGTTGTAGTGCACTAATGTCGCTACAGATGTTGACGCACAGTTGACGGCAAAGCTTTTCATTTCATTATGATCTCAGATATTGCACGTCATTTGGTGATATATCAGATAAATTTCACAATGCTACGAAAATGGTGATATGGTTTTTAAAAAATATATGTAAAATATATATAATATCCACTTCAATCTGGTTTTAACGAGA